AAGAAAAAGACGTGCCCGCTCCTCCTCTTTCGATTGGTGAAAACCGCAGGTAGCTAGGTATTGCGGTTGTCGAGTTATTGAGCTTACACTCACCCCTCTTTTATTCTGGCGCGGACATTAGATTAATAGACAAGTTAATTTTTTGTCAGAAATAATTAATATTGAGTAAATAGTTTATCGTTTTTCATTACTATTTAGGTAGTGGTACAGTTGGCAACTTGGTTTTGGCTCTGAATTTAGCTCGTCTACTTCAGACTGCTTCCTTAAATTATGCTGAGTTCTCATATCGTGTTCGATTCTGCTGGTGGGGTGCAGAAGAAGTTGGTCTTCTCGGTTCTGTCTATCATGTTGAGCAAGCATCGTTGTCTAGTGCCACCATCGAAAGTGGACGTTTACAAGATTATTTATTATACTTGAATTATGATATGTTAGCCTCTCCTAATAGTAATTTTGGTATTCTTGACAGTGTATCAGTTCCACCAGCAACACCAAACGAGGCTTTACCAGGTACTAATAGAATTACGAATCTGTTTCAGCAATGGTTTAACGAACAGAAACTTCCGTGGACCAAATCAGGCATTGGTGGTGGCAGCGATTTTGTACCGTTTTTGACCGGAGGCATAGCTTCTGGCGGTGTTAATACAGGCGCTGGTGGGTTCAAGTCAGAAACTGAACGAGATCAATATGCAGCAATGTTGGGAACTGGAAATGGTGGACTAGCTAATGTTCCCTATGATTCATGTTATCATGAACAATGTGATCGAATAAATAATGTAAATCCATTTGCATTTGAAACAGTTGTTAAAGCAGCTGCTTATGTTATTGAATACATGGGAAGATTGAAGGATTTGGAAAAATGGCTTTATCCACAAGGTCGAGTGAAAAATGTAAAACTATTCAACAAAAACCAGTTATGTGATATTCATCATGATCCCGATCTTTTTTGAATATAATTGAACTATTCATTGCGTGTTTTAGTATGAACTACTTCAAAAAAGTCTGATGTAGTATTTGAAGACTTTTATTGAATACTGACTGACATCGACTATTTGTAAACGACATATCAAATTTATATGTATAGGTTTTAGTTTAATGTCAAATTCTGAATTTCAAATCATATAATAACCGAGATGTTGCGATTTTTATTAACAATAAACCTTATGAATAGCAGATTATCACATAAGAGTAAATATATTATCTTTCGAACATATCTTCTCTAATGTTAACAGTTAGGAACAATTTATTTGAGATCATATTCATTTACTTTTTGTTCATCAATCGTTTTCGCCGACGTTAACAGCTCGACTTATCACACAGAAGTTCAAGAATTTATTGAAATATTCATTTGTAATTACAATCACTGCTGTTTTTCTATTCATAGAAATACCTAATTTGAATTCTAATTTTACAAATAGGTAATCATACATTATTTGTAAATACCTCATATATCTAGAGAGAATGTAAACTTGACGAAATGAATTGGCCAAATGAGTATCGTGCTGAATGGTACACCTTCTATCAAGTGTTCTTGATATCTGCAGCATTTTTTTTGAAACATGTAGGAGTTGGAGACCTTTGGAACTGAATCGGACCGGATGAATTATTAAAATTGGTCAGATTTTATACACTTTTAGAGTATTGGAGTTAGTTTACTTTCCTTGTTTCATCAATTTCTATGACTTTAGACGATCCAGAAATATGAATGCAAAATTTCCAACTGATAAATTCCTAGTCATTATTGAAATACTAGTTTTAAATATTGAACTCACAGGTTTTCTTTGTATGATAAAGCACTTAGGATTATGCTGCATAAATTTATCATTGGTCATGAAAAGTTAGTCGGTCATTAGAAGTCAAATTCGATTTAAAATAAAGATTTTTCACCTGTTCAAGTCTGTATTTGAACCGATCAGTTAGGTCTAGTAGAAAAAATTCTACCACTTCCAGCTCTGGAGACAGAATGTTTATTACGATCGACAGTCTCTACAAGACATAAAATAAAGTTCTCACATTATTCTAAATAATGTAAGCATAGTTTGAAATATCTATTGAATATCCCATAATTGTCATTTTGTTTTCAAGAAGAAAATATACTTGAAACATTCCTGAATTGGAAAGAATACGAAACTATTACTCTCTGTGCTTTCATTGAGGTTCTAGAAGCTTTATTTATTAGGTACATGAATTTTTACATAAGACATCCATTTTTTCGACAAGTCAATCATCTCGCTGTATATGAAAAATGAAATCAAAGATTGATTAGATTCTGATTGTCTTGTGTAGTAGTATCTTCTTGATTTGTTTCAACATTTGGTGCTAGCTGCCTCTTAGATTTTCGTGGAGCACCGATAGTAACACTAAGAGTAAGATTTCCAATAGTGAACAACCGAAAAGACACTGGTGAATTATCATTAGCCGGTTGTGATTGAGCAGGATTTAGAGTATTGGATTGAATTGAATTAGAATTGTTGTCAACATCCGTCAACAAAGCAGTTGTTTCACCATCTATTGATGATGAATTTAATATGCGACGTTTGAATACATAGAGACATCTATATGATAAAATTAAATAAATATTTTTGTGTCTACATATGGGTTTAAAATTCAATTTACATGTTGAGAATTAATGTGATTAGACCAAATCCACCCGCTACAAACAGTATTATGTTTTTATATTGATATGTCGTGTTCATAAAGATCCACTTGAAAAAATAATCACCAAATGATGTAATCAATTGATTGATGATAATGATAAATATAAATGCAATATTGGTTTCACTTGGTTTCAACCATCTTGCTAATATTGATAGAGTCAATGGATTTTGATAGTTACCAAATGAATAAAATATACTATTGCTGAATACTTGCCAATTGTATTGTGCAAAGGCTGTCCAGATATGTGTTATAAGCAAAAAAATACTACCGATAACACAGATCAGAATATCATTTGCTTTTATCAATCGAGATAATATATAATAGCCGATAAGACCAAAAATTCCAAGACTAATATTCATCACTAGTTTATAGATATTAATCAACATCAATGACCAACAAATAGGATATGTAGCAAGTGCCATGTAAAATGCTGTGACCACTGAATTTGCCAAAGCATAAAAACCATAAGCAATTAGAATCAATAAAACACTAATCTTTTGTTGAGTAGATCGACGATTTCCATGGAAAATAATGAATATATCGAAAGTTAGAAAAAGTCGATGCTTGATTTTCATATTTGTATGATTATAAAGTGTTAAATCAAAATATCGAATAATAACACCAATTGAGATCAATTGCAAAATAAGAGCAAACCAAAATAGCCCAATATAACCATGATATTGAACAAAACAAGAAATCAAAAATGTTATCAATCCTGTCAAAATACTCCTTAGTGCATAAAAGCGAACGAACCACAATGATCGATTATTCACATTCGTTAAATCGACAATAATCAAATTAATGACAAAATCTAACGAAAAACAATAAGAAACTTGATCTTCCATCTTTTTATATCTATTACGTACCTATAATACCCGGATTACCCAATAAACCTAACATAAAACCACTTAAATACCACCAATAGATTTCCAAATTCAAATAAATGATTGCCAGAGCAATTATCATTTGAATAGTAATACCTACCATAGGTAATATAAGTACGAATCGTTTGCCAAGAAATGGCATTATCATACCAAGTGTACAAGTCATAAGGATAGCTGGTAAACTATTGGCAATAGTTCTCCGATAAACAATTTCGTTTCGATCTGGTCTCGGAGTTAATCCATGTGTTGAAGTATCATTGTCCATTTGAGGACATGTTTCATTATCACTTTGAAAGATATTATTCAACATATTTTGATTATGTAATGTACTACAATTTGTATTTGGTGCCAAATTCAATGAACTAACATATGTATCAATCGATAAAATAACACAGTAACAAAGTGTCTGTAGACATATAATAGCTGTAATATTGAACAAATTCATTTTCACTCGATTAGTCGAGAAACAACGCAAATTCTTTATAAAGGAAAACATTGATGAAGTAGAATCAATCGATTCAATACGGATGAGAACAGAAATTGATTGTCAACGATAAAATTCAAGGTATGATTTTGTACAACGGTAATTATTTTTAGAATCACGTGCATAAATATACGTCGATCATAGAAAGAAAAAAAAATACTGATTGAAAAGAGAAAATAAATGTGTACATGCAAAGGCTTGGCAAATTGTCTGACTATGTGATTGACGATGTTAGCAAGTGTATGATATTGTAAACGTGACGATTTTTGTGAGGCATCATGATATATTTTGTTAGGTTTTTTTTCTTCCACATAGAGTTATTTGCTTTAAAACAGCGATAAAAGTGAAACTGAAAAAATAAAATAAAAACTCTTCCATCGTTGTTCAATTGAAATGTTGCCTAGCGAAAGATGAGCATCAATATCGAATGAAATTATGAAAATAACGGACTTATTTCAGTACACGATCTAATCGGTTTCAAATCTTATGACGATGAAACTAGTTCACGATTTGTCATGTGCAGCAGTCAGAGCTACGTGGGATACTATTTGAGCAAATCAAGGATATAATGAGAAGTTAACATAATAATAAAAGAAAGAAATTGAAACTGAATAATTGATTTGTTATTTAATATGAGAAAAATACATTGAATAGAATCAAAACTGATCTCTGAAAAATTATTAATTGTGTTTTGAAACTTTTGATTTCTTTTGCAGCATTTTATAATATCACAAATTGGATTTATTTTTCGATTTTTCTTAGTTCAGAAAACTCTGCAGCAAGTTTAGTCACAATTTTTTTATATCCAAATATATTAGTTTGATCGGATTTATTATTATCTTTGGTTTGATATTACAATAATTGATTCAGCGTACAAAAAACTGAATATGCATATAGTTTAATTATCAATTCAATTTGGGGTTTGAATAGTTTTGAGAGAAGCTGTATCCTATTCAAAATTACAGTTGTTGGTGGAAGACTCGATAAATCTCCTTTCTTCATGTAACCTATATTTCTTGTAACAACTTTTTTTATTCGAACAGAATTCAGTCATTTGACTGTGATCACTAATTACGAAAAATCAGTAGTATCAGAAGATGCTATATTAACGTTCATAATGGCTGTTCTAAAACACGTAGGATATTTGTTTTAAGGGTTTTCTTACATTTAAAAGACATTTTTCTCTTTCTAGTAAATTCTACGATATTGCATTGCAATACCATATTAAAAACCAAACAAATACACCTCTTGTGCTTCACCTGATATGTTCGGATGGAACGAACAAACAAAGTCCATATATGTCGAGTCTGAAAGTTGAATTGAATTAAACTTTCAATTTTTAAGTTTGATATGTTCAATATTAAAATCGTCTATCATAATTATTGTCAATCATTTCACTTCGATTTGTTAATCAATAGAAGGATGAAAATCAGGTCAATCTTAATGAAAAAAAACGGTTAAATGTGTCAAGGATCTAATTACACTGAGAGTAATAATTGTTATCAACAGAGTTCTCGTTTCATCATAGGTTCTACGATGGGCTTTTTCGTCAATATTTTCTCACTGACTAAATGATCACTCAATATATCATACGATCATCATAGCGGTAATATTTTTTTATTAAGTAAAAAAATTGTTGACATAGTTGATGAATATCATTTGGAAGAAATTTGACTGAAACTCCACAGAAATAAAACGATTAATGATCATCTTACTCTTTCATTCTGCTTGATTTGTTGATCAAATAATAATTCAATATTGTTTCGTTCACTTTCACTTCGATATAACAATGAACGTGAAAGAAAAAAGACGCTTCTGTCGATCAAAACTCTTGTGAAACAAACATCGTTTCAATTGGCCTAGCCATTTATTTTCGTCTATTTGTTGTTTCGATCTTTAACTCTTGTGAAAGTTTTTCAACAAAAAAGTCACAGTTAATGATTTAGGACGGTTCCTAGAAACGAATCCATCGGTCGATGGTCATTGAATGATTCGATTTCGTCAATGTTTATTAAAGGGCAACAATTGTTATTCAATAATGAGTACATTATTTTATTTAGCATTCGTGCGAGTCATGAAGCAGGATAATAAATTTGGTTGCTGTCTAATAATATCGCAAAAAATGTCTAACATGAAATAAAATTTTCAGTACAAAACAATGATGAAAAATAAGGCGCACAAATTAGATCGTGTTATTGGTTTTCTAGATTATAGTTGGATAGGCAAGAAAGACACGAATAAGCTATAGAAATTGCTGCATTATAATCAAATTATTGAACGATCATATTTGCACAGCAATACGATGTCCGATCAATTCTCAAGGTCAATTATATGTGCGAAAGTCAGCAAAGACGAAAACTTGATACAGCTTTGATCTTTCAGCAAAGGTTTTCTACTTCGATATATTAGATTTTGAATTTTTGCTTTTGTTTTTGAAATCCAAACAAACATTGTTTCATATATGCCGCATTTTGTGTCAATTCAGTCGATCAAGCTTATTCTAAAAGAAAAACTGTCAAACGCTGTTAATTTTATGCATCGTACCGATTAGTTTTAAAAGAGTAATATTGGTAGAGAATACGAGCAGCAAAAATTTTGAAATCAATACTTGTGCTCACTATTCAAAGAGGAGCGAAAAGCTAGCTGTTCTTTCCATGATCGCCAAATAAACCGTTTTATCTTAAATATAGTTTCGAAAAATGGAAATTCATCTCCTCTTTCCGACTATTTACTGCTTAGACCACTGCAGTCTATAACCACAAAACCATGTTCAGGAATTGATTTATATAGTAAACCTGTATGACAACTTATGCTTACTTCTTTCGCATTCATTCAGGAAGTATTTCCTTTTATTTATAATAGGGAGAAAGTTTTCTGATATCATGCTGCACATTGATGAAATCCTGCAGAAAAAAAGAATTTTATTTGATGGTGATCATTTTGATAATAAACGTATAAGTATTAATTGCTTTCAGTTTTGTTCAATGTTATCCTTCAAACACTGGCCCTGCTGATCCTGCCGGCAGTGTTGGCGGTAGCTGTGGTTCTATGATCTGTCGCGGTCGATGGAGAATGTTGACTATCTTTTTTGGCGCAGTCAATATCTTTTTATTTTGTCCGTTGACGAGATTGAACGTCGAAGCTGCGGTAGTGTCAATAATGACTTCTGAATTGTACTGCGTCATCTAAATTCACTCATTTAAGTTTATGGAACTTCTTTCAACAAAAAAACTTGTATTTCATAGACTTACATCGTCATCAGTCATACTGACTGTTGTATCTGTCGTTTGATTTTCATTATTCTCTTCTGCAGAGACATCATTGTTGTCCGTCAGATTCAAGACATCTACGAGCTATACATTCGAATACACATTCGACATTTCCAACGTGTTGAAAATAAGAAAACCAACGTACCTGACCAGATTGAGCAACTTCGCCCCAGCTATTGATTTTGTCTTGATTCAATTGCTGTACATTCTGAGGCATTTCGAAACTTGAACCGAATAGTAATAGGACAATTAAAGTCAGTGGAAAAAAAATTGAAACCATGTCTGATAAAAGTAGTTGATATCTTCAGAAGTTTTTGAGTAAAATCATGAAGCTCAGTACCGTATTTACACAACTATTATAGTTAGTGCGCAAGCAATAAAGTATAATCTAAAATTTTATTACCATATGATTAAATTATAATGCTCTTCTAACAGCCGTGCTTTGTAGTTAATTGTGCATGATGGCAGTTCCTGTTAAGTTATGTTTATTATATTATTTGACTATGAATAAAAAACACAAATATCATGTAAATCATTGAATATCCGCATTAATCATGGTTCCACGAACAGAATTAATAATAAACGAAAAAAAATCTACTTGCAGACTATTTTTTCAGACAGTCATGCTTGTTAATGTATCGAGACTAGAAGATTACTTCCTTTACCTCTAATCAAGCACTATATGGGCGGAGTCTTGTAGATTTTGGTTATATTATCTTAAATATAGTATCATTAAACTGGAAATATGTAAATGCTGAAAATTCTACTAAAGAAATAAAGACTAAATTGCTTTTACTGTATTTCATACTTTTCATGGCAGATATTTCCGCTTGTGCATCTGACAGAAAAACGTACCATGTCGTTTTCTGTATAATGATCTTCTATTCATGCATTCGTGATAAATTATTCTTTCATGACAGTGGTATGGCTGTGGATGAAAATCAGTGAAAAGAAGATGCACACCACGCGCCCACTGCACTTCACAGTGACACAGACGTCACTCTCAAGTACTTATCTTCTTTAGTGTTTTTCGAGACTTTTCTGACAAATCCGTAGTTTCAAACCTTACAGCTGTTTGTCGTCCCTTTTGTTTCAACTTAGTTTGCGGATTGTTATCACAGCTAGATAAACAGTGCGCTACAAAGCCGTTTTTTAGTGATAAAATAGAAATCAAGATTCAATTGATTCACTGCCTGTTGAAGCAGCTTCATTATTATAATATATTAAAACCAGAGTAAATGTGCTACTCATCGATTGTTTGGTACTAGAATGAATCACACATAATAACAAGTTACTCACTGTTACTGATCGAGTTAAACATTTTGCGTCTTTTGTAGAAAGAACTTTTACCATGAGACAGACAACGAGAGTTTCCGTAGAAGAATCAAGAAACATAAAAAAAACGAACGGCAAATAAAGTCTGAATAAAATAAGAACTTTGAATGAGAGATATTCTGAATCAACTTATAGTCGGAGTCGAGAAGTAACAGTGTAGAGCGAATATTCATGAACACAAGAATCTCAATATCTGATGTATAACATAATAGTAGATATGGA